GGTATGGTTGAGTAGTAACGGCGAAACGGCTGGAGTGCCTAACCGAAAGAATGCCTATGCAGTCTTCTGTCCTTGCTGTGTGATGTGATGCGTACCACCAACCAGGGGACTATTGTCAAGCCGCCAAGGCGTCGAGCAAGGCTTCTGATAACCCCCGCGGTTAGGCCAACTGCGACCATAAACGTACGTAAGGAGTGATAGGGTCGGTGGGTGGGATGTTGAAGTTCTAGAAATGTGGCTGCGACGCTTAAAGCTTCGAAATCTAGGGAGGGTTGCTTCGTCGAATTTGCAGACATGCATGGTGAAGCACATTCGGATGTGGTGGAGAGCAATGCTTCACACTTCACGATAACTGGTGCAAGGCAGTTTAAATCTCATGGTGGTGTGATGTGACAGTGCAGAGCATACGATCCCTGATAGCTGGACACTGGATACTTTTGAAAAGTGCTTCGCATGGATACGTGTTACTAGACAGGGCGATGATGGCAACCGTTGCAAATGGCTAAGGACAGCGCTGTGCGTAGTGGTGTTGAAGTGGTTCCAGATGACGAGAGCGGCGTGCATAGGTGTGTGTGGCTGGCTGCGCTCTGTGCGAGGGTAGCATCCATCTCTTGCATGCAAGCAACCACTTTCTTGGAATCGCTGAAGTGTGAAATCTTGGAAGTTCGAAACCCATTTGTATGTAATGGGAATATTTAGCAGTAACACAAACTTTGTTGAGTCTTGTGAAGATTGAGAATGTGCTGTGATTCTACACCCGGCATTCCATCCTCCTGTCCTTGAAACCCTCGGGTTTCTCGGCCGAGGAGGCGTGGGTCATCAAGCTCTGTGAGACTGATACTTCCTCTGGGACTTGATGGTCTCGGGCTCTATCCGTAAATTGAGAAGGAATCATATCGCAATTCTAGACCAAATGGAAGATGCTGGCGAGCCAAGTAAACAGACTTGCACAGCAGATAAATTGTCTCCGAAGTTGTGAGTCCATAAATGATGTAAGTGGACGGGCGCAATTCAGCACGAGAGAGGGTCGAGTGGGGGGAACCAGCAAGGGCTGTCGACTGCATGGACCATGACGGTTGAAGTTAGACAGCGCCTAACTAGTCTGTCTAGTCTGTGTGACATGGCTGAAGAAGTCTGGTGGAAGAATGCATAGAAGCTCTGACAAGCCTAAACTGCTTCTGAGGCGCCGCCACGGTTGACCGCTAAGCAACTGGGTGATTAGCCTTGTCGTGACTAATTGGTCTCAGGATCAACCGCTAAGAGACATGTACCGCAATGTCCCAATCCGTGGTATTGCCGCCATTCGAGTTGCTCGTCATCATATTCATGGCGTGAGTTGACAATGGTCAGATAAACCGAGCAGTCGGATCAAATCTGTATGTTTCCGACATGGCTGTGATTGTCCAGTTATCAGTGAGGGATGTCCTGATTGTCTCAAAGCATGGGGGTAATCAGCCCTGTTCATGTCATCCATCCTGGGCCACGGTTTGCCATGTGCTGTGCGCGGTTGTCTTGCGTGTGATCCTGCGGGGTGATAGATTCGTTGGTTCCACTGCTTCTCACCAGCTTGGTCTCGGGCAGCCAGGGCAATTGAAGATATGTGGTACGGAGTAAGATGAAGTGGAAGGCGGCCAGCAAACGCGGAGGTAGGACTCGAGCGGATACTCGTTTCGAGGTTCGACGTCGCCAACCTGGCAAAACTGCAAGAAAGGCTGGCTCTGAAGCCTCTGGATAATATCTTTCATGACGGCGTTGTTGCCAGATGAATGTTAGCATCTGTGTCGTGCTGTTGTAGGCAATAGGGCCCCTGTTCTTAACAGATTTGCACAATGAAATGCCGGCACGGTTGGCCTTACAAGATCCATCCACGGTTGCAAGCGCAAGCGAGCTCGAACCGAGGTGATTTCAAGATTGACTGATGCTTCTATCGTCTGCTGCTGCTGTTGCTGTTGCTGCTCCTCCTCCTCCTCGTCTGCCTTCCTCTCCACTCTAGCCACTGTAAGGAGGCAGCGACCTACTTAGGTGGCTAACGCACGCAGCTAGCAGGATTAATTGTGAGCCTTGGCAACCCCAGGCTGCTTGGCCCTTTTGCTTCTGAGAGGCGGGGAGATTTTGTTTTGTCACAGCGCGAGTGGTTAAGCTGTCGATAATGGATGCATGGGGAGTGGATGAGGTTGTCTTCAGTGGAGATGGAGATGGTTAAGACGAAGGAATGGGCATTTCTGATTGGGCTGTCACGTTGCAAAAGGACCTGACCTGACCACGGTCAAGGGTGCGTACGGAGCCCCGGGAGTGGATCGCTTTAGCGCCTACGGTTGTGGATATGGAACTGCAACTGCAAATGCAAATGCAGCGGATGATTTTAAGGTGCACCCGGCGGCGGTTTTGTCACCCTTGTCGCTACATGGATCCAGGATGTCTGTATGCAAGTCTCCTTGTCTGGTGCATCCTGGCCTGTCTTGGCTCTTTTGTCGCTTGAGATAGGTACCTAGCTCGCACGCAATAAAGATCTTTTGTTTCCATTACGGATATGATAACGGATATCTTATCTTGTTGTCGTCAGGAACCATTTCGAACCTGCATCTGTCGATGCTATGTGATCGACAACTGCCAAGAGCTACAGCATCGTTCGTCTAGTACGGAGTACTGTCTGCTGTAGTGTATACCTAGGTAGTGACAACCAGTGACAGTGGGAGAAGTTGACTTATCGCAGCACTCGTCGGCGATTCCGAGAGTGTCTGAGAGATAAGTATCTTACCTCCAGTCTACAGTCTGAACTGACTTGTACAACAGAAAGGTGCAAAAAAGCTTGGACAGATTGAATTTGAAGCCTCTTTTTCCCCTGAGTTCTTCGAAATTTTCTTCTGCTCCCATAGCGTCAAACTATTTGCGCACCAGACTATCTACGGTGTCAGTGTCAGTATGCAGGTTCCTTCTTGATCTTAGCCCCAAACCGTCACTCTGCCAGCCCGTTGTGTCATGTATGATGAGCTATCTAGACTGGAAGCATAGACCTATGCCGGAACAAAGCTCCTTACAGAGTTTACAAGACTGTATTGAGCCTCAGGTGTCCTTCGGCCGTATACCGTTGGCACGTCGGCTCCAGGCGGGTTTTCATCTAGACGAGAGGATGCTACGTGACAAGCCACACAGAGGAACAAAACTTGCCCAATTCTCCCACATTACCTGGGTTCCCTTGCAAATCTTGGATATTCACGCATCAATCTTAACTCATCTCTAGTTATTACCGGCGGCTTTTATGCTTTGAGGCTCTATTCCCTTTGCGCAATCGTCCCCGACTTGGCGCTCGCTGCACTCTTTGCCGAACTTGGCCTAGATTTTCAACCTCGTCTCGAGTCCTCCCTTGTCCGCGACGACGATTACAGTACAGAATAAGAGTTTCGTGAGTCCAATCTGCCCAAGATCCGAGAGTTGGGGGGGAACTCGGGCGGAAGAGAGCGAGTGAGACCTTGCTCAACAAGGGACGGACTCGATGAACATGGGCTGGCCAAATCAGAACCCCCAGGTAGTGTGGGAACGGCCAAGGGCAGTTATACCGGTGTATGAACAGCGCTAGGGGTGCCTCGCAGCGCTATACCGACGGCCACTAAACCGCTCATGGAGGTCAAGCCGGGGGGGGCTTAACCCCCCGTAGGCCGCCGAACGATGGGAGGTTCTATCCATCCAACTTGGGGCGAGTGCTTGCTGGACTGGCTTACCCCAAAGACTTACAGGGTCTGCAGGCAAAGAATGAACCACTTTCCTGGGGCTAGAGATAGATACTTACGACTGCTCACATTCCATACGACGAACAAGGTATCTTAACCGTAACCAACTTGTTTGGTTGCAATTGCACTTACCATTTCGTACAGTAGCGAGTAGCCACGCCCACGCAATCTTCGATCCCGCCCCTCCCCTCCATCTTCCCGTCATTGTGAGTGAGGTTTTCCTTGGTTCCTCAGGTCGTCGTCTCTCCATATTTTCTCTTCCTCATTCTCCAAACAACGCCGTACCTTGACGTACGTAGTATGGAGGAGGCCCGCGCTGCCGCTATCTACTATAGACATACATCACCGCCAGCACCGGCCAAGACACACCGAGAGAGAGATTGAGATTGGACTGGGTCCGTTGAGACTGAAACCATTTTCTTATTGCCAGGGGAATCCCTTCTGTGTGTGGTTGTCACTGGTTAACCTATTCTGCTCCTCTAGTCTACCTCGGCCGAAATGGAGATGGCATCCAAGGATCCCCCGCTGATCATCGCAAAAAAGACACGCTTGCTTGGGTTTGGGATGATGATGCCAACGCCAGTGCCAGAGCCAGAGCCAGAGCCAGAGCCACAGCAAAGACAAGCCAGGGCTAACGGTGCCCCCATCATGGCATGGCAGCATGGGAGTCGTCCATCCCCCATCCATCCCCCTCTCTCCACTCCCGTCTCTCATCAGACGTCCCGCTCTCTCGATCTTAAACGTGCCTATCTGCTGTAGGTACATCACTACGCTATTTCACGCTACCACTCCTTGTAATGACCTTCACCCACACCCCTCACTCTCCCTGCACCCCTCGACTGCACTGCTCCCCATCATGATCCCTGCCGCGGCTTCAGGGTCTTGTTGCTGTTCTCAAGTACTGGGCGATACCCTCGGTCTCGGAACACCCCTCGCCTCTTCTATCTGGTCTTCATCTTGCCTTATACCGTCCTAGAGCGCCACTTCCATATTCATACCCCGTTCCTGAAGACTTCATTCATACTTTAACATCGTGCTTCCACCGTTTCTAAGATCTCCCTGTTGTCTATACTCTTATGAGTTCCTTATATCCAAAGTCTTTAACTATACCACTACTCCACCACCAACTTCACCTCGACTCTTGTCAACATACACATTAACTTGACTCAACTTGGTTACATATATACCTTTACCTCGACAACTCTCTTTAACACACCCATCCACCTCTTACACACACTTCACCCCTTCAACTTCACGAACATGACAGCCGCCATGTCACAACCGACCGTCACGGTCAAAGATCCCTCTGCAGTACGAAAGCGCAGAAGACGTGCTCCTGCTGGTGGCGCTTCTGATGATTGTTTCTCTTGCTCCAAGAAGAACATCAAGTGTGACCGTAGAAGACCATACTGCTCTCAGTGTCTCGAGGTTGGCAGTGAATGTTCTGGTTATAAAACACAACTTACTTGGGGAGTTGGCGTGGCCAGTCGAGGCAAGCTTCGTGGCTTGTCTCTGCCCATTGCCAAAGCTCCTCCTGTTACTCGTGAACCTAGGAAGCACTCGACTACATCATCAAGAAGCTCTGCCATTGCTCGTTCAGGGACGGAAGATGAAGTCAGCCGTATGCGCCAAGGTCCCATTGATATTCCTGCAGTGACACAAGTCGCTTCTGCACCTACAACACCATTTGCCATGGCTGGATACGACTACCTCTCTATCCCCCATCCTGAGCATGCAGCCCCTATCCACCAAGGAAACTGGGGTTCGGTCAACTATTCTCCCGCTCAAGAAACAGCACACAATCTGCATCGATTCCCGGTGCCTCTTGTCACAGAGAACCTCTCATCTTCTATCGATCCCCTTACTCCCGACGTTGGCTATGTTTCGCCTATGAGCCAGTCTTATACTAGAGACGACGTCTCTTATGTCCACAGCCCGTCCTACATGTACGACAGCTATACAACCGGCACTAGCTCTCCTGGCCCTCAGAGCCCCCCAGCATCCCTCTACGCCGAACACGCAAGGACCTTCGCCCCGACCTCATGCCCCAGTCTCGCCCATGCTCCTTCAGAAATGAGCTCCAGCCTTCACTCGCATACCGACACCTTTGACTCGCAAATGGGCAATAGGATGGTTCGGGATTGTGATTCATTCGGTAAGCCCAGATGGAACCAATGACTTCCTTTGGTTCTAACGTGCGCAGGCGTGCCTGAAGTCGATACATATGGCGCCAGCTACAGCTCGATGCCGATCTCCTGGCAGTCTCCATCGATGCAAGATGAAGATGTTAAATCTCATCATTCGGACTTTGCTCCCTCGGGGTGGCCGACCGCTTCCGAAAACCATTCTGTTCATGTGAGCCAGGACCTCATCTCCAAGATGCCCTTTTTCATGGATTACTACGAGAATATCATGTGTCCCTCCATGGTCTTTATCGACGGGCCACACAACCCATTTCGAGACCATATTCTGCGACTAGCTGTAAACAGCCAGAGTTTGAGCCATGCAATTTGTGCTCTTGCATCCTGCAATCTCCGCATGAAGAGGAAACTGAGTCTCGGACGTGATACACGAGATCTTTCTGAGAAGTTGATGGCTGACAAACATGCCGCCGAAGCCATGGCAGACACTCAGCCCGACGACCTGTCCCTCGCCGAGGAATACCAACACCGTAACCTGGCTGTGCACCTATTAAACGAGCAACTAAACGACCGGACTAAAGCAATTCACGATTCAGTCCTTGCTACGATCCTTCTACTATGTCATTACCGCATGGTTGAGTCCGGTATCGCCAAATTCCATACTCAGTTTGCTGGTGTCAGCAAGATTCTTGCTCTTCGAACTCAGCATCTTGCAACATCTAGCAATTCTGCCTGGATGGAGGCTATTTTCAACTACTTTGACGCCATCTCTGCCAGCATCAACGAGCGCGAGTCCCAAGTGTATCCCGGTTTCAGTGGGGTGTCAGACTCTCAACTCTTGCCTGTCGGAGCCGAGAACCTGGTGGGGTGTGACCGCGAGCTCTTCAAAACCATTAGCAGACTCGGACGCCTGAATTTACTGTCTCAGAATCGTTCCGTACGAAAAGCAGCTGCCGCATATAGAGCTCAGGAAGTGCCTGAGCGATCTCCGTCCTTGTCTTACATCTCCCCACTAGGTCACGCTCGGCGAGAATCTCTCACAGGGTTTAATGTGAACGATCAGATAGGGGACATGAGCAATGCCACTAGCCATGGTCTCGGTGATGGGCGATCAAATACGGGAGTCAATGAGGACCGAACCACTGCGCCAACAAGTGCCCCAGCCCCGGCCACGTCCTACGAAGAAGGTCGCTCCTTGTTTTGGCATGAGTGGAAAGAAGCACGACTGGCTCTACAAAATTGGAACTTCGATGCTCCCAGGGTCAGCGCCTCACTTCCTGAGCCCTGTACACAGAGTCAACTACGAGACCTGGAATCACTCTCCGAGGCTTTCCGCTATGCCGCCCTGTTATACACGGAGCGACTAGTGAGCCCATCGCTACCTTCAGGCCACCAGAGTATCCAGAGCCTTGTCAGCCAGGTGGTCTATTACGCGACGAACCTAGATACAGGAAGTAGCGCCGAGAAGTTTCTACTCTGGCCCCTTTTCGTTGCGGGCTGCGAGTGCGTCAACGAATTACAGCAAAACATGGTGCGGTCCAAGTGTCGTGATATCATGTTCCGTTCTGGTTACATGAACAACTTGGCGGCTCTGGAGGTGCTGGAGAAGTTGTGGGCCCAAGATTGGGCGGGAGAAGAGCCGTTGATGTTGGGGACCAGGACCGGGGATCAACGCGGACCGTTCAACTGGACCAAATGCATCGGGGGACCCGGAGTGGAGGTGGAGTGGATCATGTTTTGATGTGCAGGGATGTTCGGCGATTGACATGTGAAGGCGTTTGTGCTCGGACTGGACTGGGTTGAACTGGGCTGAGATGATGGGAATCAGGGATTTGGATCAAGTTTGCAAGGGGCTGTCATGAATTGCGTGGGTAGGGGTTGGTGAAGTTGGCCGGCCTTGTTAGCCTAATGGTGGTGAGTGTGTGTCATATTCGGATTCGGGACTACTGTGGGATTAAGTTTGGGAGTTTAGCTTGATGAAAAGGCTAGTATCATCATCACCATCATCATCTTGTATTATGTAACGCAGGCAACGCAACACAACAGCATACGGAAACGGTTACGTTAGAAAGAAAGCAAGGCGTTTCGGTTTAGCATTGGACATTAGGACAGACCTCTGGAGTTTGGGTACGTACTGAATATGGTCCAAAGAGACCGAGATTAAAACGAGTATTCACCTGAAAAGTGTCAAACTACCACTTCTGTTAGTCAATGATAAAGGAGTAGGGAGTCGAGAGTGACCCTCACATCCAGGATATGCCGAGGGTGCTAGTGAAGCCATTGTGAAAGACGATGCAGGATTTGGCAGTTGCAAAGACGTTACAGGGCTGGGCTAGGTCTAATACAGCCTCTAATTTTCAGCCTCCTTTTTTTTTATTCCTAGCTACGTACTCTATCTAGCTTTCACTGTACCACGACGTAGTACTCCTAAAAGCGAAAGGTCAGAGTCTGGCTTGCAGCGGCGCCACCGCGGGTTGACTCCGCTGTCCCTGGCGGAGCCGGCCGAAGGTGAAGGGCTTTTACTGTATGTACAGAACAAGAGCACAGCTGGACGAGGATTGATAAGGCGCGGTTAGATCGTTGATTGGCCGAGATTGAGACAAGGCGAGACGTCAAAGTGCCCAACCTACTAACTAACTATCAGATATTTTTTGGCCGATTCAAGCCAGAGTTTGAAAGTTTGAGTGTGGGGATGGGAATGGGTTCAATGATCGACATTAGGGATGATTTACGGTAATGGAGTTGGGGATGGGTCCCTTGTAAGTCGCCTTGAACTCTGTCAAGTACCGGTACGGTAGTAGTTGTTGTGTAAACGACAGATGCGTGGTGATATAGTTACGTATTCTACACCGGGATACCACCTTGCACCACGTTGCGCTGTCACTTGGAATGAGACATGCAACAGTATGATAATCTGTCAATGCAACTCCAAATGGAGATTGCAAGGCTACTGCAATGCTTATTCCCACATCCAGGTACACGTAGTCATAAGGAGAGTTTTATTATGATCGAGAGCCGAGACAGTCAAACAAACACAGAAACATATCCTAGTCAGCGATCTCCCTCCTCAACGTAACATCACAAGCAAAATCCAAAAAGCTAAAAAGATCCTCCCTTCTCTCCACATCCATTCGGCCTTGTCTCCTGGAGCTAGTAGGGGTGGGCAAGACGCCACGACATGTAACAATCCTGCTGAGCCTTGCTTGTAGTGTACAAGGATCGGGGGGGCATGGTTTCGGTGAGAACGGCGAACGATCAAGGGGCACTACAGGAAAGAAAAAAAACGTAGTATAGCTAATGCTGGTTTCAGGAGTGAAAACAGGCATGGCCGAGGCTGGGGGGATGGGGGATGGGGA